TGTTTTTTTTTGTCTGGGGGAGGGGGGGGGGGGGGGGGGGGGGGCGTGATGATCACCGACCGTTCCACACGGTGTATGCTGTACTGTGGTCGTCTTCGTTGAAGGTGATGTGTTTTGACGGCGGTGATTTCCTCGCTGGATTGGTTTTCCCTTGGGAATGGACGTGACAGCGGCTAGTCTCGGTCGGTTGTGCTCGCCGGACCGAAGCGCACGGGGCTCGAGCTAGCCAGGTGGTTACTAGCCAGGTGGTTAAACTATCGTCGCTTGCGTTTTTTGCACTTGGTCGCTATGAATGTGTACGTTGCGCCTGCTGCTCTTGTGGTCGATGCTGCTGCACTTGCAGCTCGACCAGCCACGAGCCCATGGTGTAGTGTATTAGGCATAAATTGTTAAGCTCTTATTGTTAGGGGTGGTGGTGGTGGTGGTTACATTGGTTGGATGGATATTACTCTTGTTTAGACACAGGGGAGCGGGCATAAGTTTCGCGATTACATATCTAATGGTACACTGGCGTTTAAGCGCGGGGAAACAGGATTGAGTGACGCACGATCTGGCGATATCGCTTCGGGTCTGTTTGTTTCCCCTATGTTTGTTCGTGCGAGGCGAGAGAGCTTCTTGTGTTGTTGACAAGACTCACGACGTCGATCAGTATTGTCCCAAACGGGCGAATACACTTCTTCGCGGCTATAAAAAAGCATTTTGAGGATAGCGTGGCGTTTACGGTTCTCGTGGTGGTGTGGTTGTGGCCTGCTGTTTCGAGTGCGGGGGGGGGGGGGGGGGGGAGCCAACCCCCCCGGTGGCCCAATCTGAAGGGCGCGCCCCCCGGTGGGGCGGGGTCCCCTGATTTCAAATGGTTTGTTTATTTTTTGGCCCGGTGGTGGGGCCACACCCCGACCCCCCCCGGGGTTCCCCCGTTTCCGGGACAAAAACCCCCCCCCGTCCCTCCGAAAGAAATAGAGCCCCCAGCCGCGCCCCGGTTTTGGTTGACCACTGTCCGCATAACAGCAAGGACCTTAAAAAAAAAACCCCCTCCTGGGGGGGGGGGGGGGGGGGGGGGGGGGGGGTTTCTTGGTTTGGCCCAAGGACG